TGCTGAGTGTGGTATTGGAATATTGCAAGCAGACATGCACGAAACTCTATCATGAACAGTAGTGTAAAATATCAGGTCTCAAAAATGAATAAAACAGACTTATGTCCCCCTACCAAACCTAGCATGTCCTCAAAATGCTTTTCAGGTTGCAGTTATAAACAGGCCTTTTGTAAACGCCCCATTTGGTTGAATGTGTGTTAGAAACATTTAGAAATTGTCATTCATAATCAGAGTTTTGTTTATCAGCATATAGTGTTTTGGCAATGTTTTTACTTTCAAGACTGTGGTGTTCAGGTATGTGAAGACTAAATTGCCTGCTGAGAAAGCTCAGCCTTTAAAGGTAAAGAAATTACAGGAGCTACTTGGAAATACAGATTCTCCTCTGATGAGCTGTACTTCTTGGTGTCTCAGACAGGTCAGGGAAATAACATTGGCTTGTCCTTTCCGCCTCGCCTCAGGGAGCTTAGGTTCATTGGGTTACTCCCATCACAGTGCTCCTATTTGTCTCTGTTTATTTGTAACCTCTTTCTTTGTGCTCTCTGGACTTGTAAGTATTGTTTTTCTCCTCTACTTATGTCCTTTGCAAAGCTACTTCAGAGCAATGTCCTTTTTGCATGGACACAAGAAGATAGTTAATGCTATGTTTTCGTAACTTGGGAATTAATTGACCCTGAATGATATTTACCTCCTGGACATCTATCTGTTCTCTTGGCTTAAGCTTATTTACCTTGACTTCCTAGACCCCCACATCAGGGTTCCAGTGAGGGACTGGTTGGACCCAGGGCAAGCTGTGATCTATATGCTACCCTGGCATCCAAAGGCCAAAGTGCCTTAATGCTTAACTATAAGTTAAGAGCATGGTCATGGACAAATACTGTCACAATCCACAAAGCAATCAGTATATTCGGACCCTGCTAGGGTTAGGAATGATTGATCTGGCCTGAGCACTATAGTCTGAGTCCCAGGAGATGTTCCCAGGAGAGCCACCCAACAAGCTCAATATATCACTTACTGTGTCCATACAAAGTAACTCATATTGTAGCACTGTCCTCCCCTTGTTCATCAAATTGCTCCAGTGAGCCCAGTAATGTCTCCATTGTGAGACTTGTTACTGTGTTTGGCATATCGATTACACCACGGGTAGCTTGCCAGGCTTTGCCATGGGGGCGAGATACTTTCGGTATCTTGCCGGGCTCTCTGAGAGGGGCGAGGAATGGAACCCAGCTCAGCAGGGCTGGCCGCATGCAAGGTAAACCCCTACTGCAGTGCTACCCCTACAATCCAACTCTTATTAAGAAGTAGAATTAAGACGTTAATTGAGATGTTAATTCAGAGATTAATTAAGTTATTGGACTGAGGAGAAGAGAACCACCCCTAGGTGTTTTTCCATCCTTGAGCCTCATGGGCAGTCAGGAAGGGCTTTCTTTTGTTAATTTTGCTACCTGACTGGCCGCAGCCTCAGAGCTTATTGGAAAGCCAGGTATGAGCCAGCGGGGAAGGGGCAACTAAGGTCTCATGGGAAGGGGGGGCGGTACCTGCTTGTCCTTCACGCCCTACGAGGTCACAAGTTGTGCCCAGGAACGGTTATCCGATAGAGCAATAACACCAGACGCACAGAAACCAATCTCGTAATTATCTGGCTCTTTGCAGAAATCCAAAATCAGGAGGCTGCTATTGCGGCCTCGGGAGATAATACGATTTTCATAACCAGCTATAGAAAAGAAAGTATTTCACAATGCCTTGTCAGCAATTCTCATTGTTGGGGAGGAAATTCTAAGCAATAATGGTGCATCTTTTGTCAAAATAATGAATGTAATCAATGTAGAGAAGAGTGAAGTGGAAATCATCTGCCTCACAGGCATTGGGCAGGGTGGGAAGGGGGTATATTGGGGTTCTTGGTGGTGAAAAATGAGTACTGGTGAAGGGAGAATGGTTTGACCATTGTATGACTGAAACTTAAACCTGAAAGCTTAGTAACTTTTCTCACAGTGATTCAATAAAGAAATATAAGAAGAAAAAATATATAAATTATGAAAATAAAAGTAAAGTGTAGTTCATGCCCAATACAATCAGCTTATCAGTGGCTGATAAAGAGCAGTACTCCTACATAAAAAAAAGATAAAATAACCGAATACAAAGACATTCTACAGAATGGGAAAGGATATTTACCCCAATACCCATCTGATAAAGGGTTGATATCAAGGATATACAAAGCAGTGGTGTTGAACTCCACAAGAAGAAAACATATAACCCCATCAAAAAATGGGGTGATGAAATGAACAGAAACTTTCCAAAGAAGAAATCCGAATGGCTAAAACGCACGAGTGAAAATGCTCTGCATCACTAATCATCAGGGAGATGTTATCAAAACAACAATGAGATATCATCTCACACCACAGAGACCGGCCCACATCCAAAAGAACAAAAGCAACTAGTGTTGGCATGGATGCTGCGAGAAAGGGACCCTCCTTCACTGCTGGTGGGAATGCCGACTGGTTCATCCCTTTTGGAAAACAGTATGAATGATTCTCCAAAAATTAGAAATTGAGCTCCCATTTGACCCAGCAATACCACTCCTGGGAATATATCCCAAAGAGGGAAAAAAGTATAGTCGAAGTGACATCTGCACTCATTTGTTCATTGCAGCACTCTTTACAATAACCAGAATCTAGAAAAAACCCAAGTGCCCGAGAACAGATGACTGGTTAAAGACACTTTGGAACATCTCCACAAGGGAGTACTATGCGGTTGTTAGAAAAGATGAAGTCATAACATTTACATAAGTGGTACTACATGTACTGCCTGCTTTGGTCCCCCTTCAAGTTTTCTTTTAAGAAGTAATTCATAATTCCACAGAGGCTACACCAATTTACATTCCAATTGTTACTTTAGTAGGGTTTCTTTTTCCTTAGCAACATTTGTAGTTTTCAACCTTTTAATATAGCTCATTGCAATGAGTGTTTATTCTGAATTTGAGCTGAATTTCCTGAACAACAAATAAGTCCCATCCCCGCCTCCAATGTGTTTTTGGGACAAAAGTCTATTCAGATCTCTTTACTATTATTTTTTAACATTTCTTATTCTTTTGTTTTTAAATTCTTTGTAAAACTTTTTCTGGTATTATGATCATCAACTCCTTGTCCAGTTTGCAGTGTGAAAATATCTCCTAAAATCCAAGTTGCTAAGGTGTGATGATGTGTGTGATGTTGGAATTACGTGCGTGAGAAACCATCACTGATAGTATTATAAATCACAGAAACTCAATAAAAACATTTAAAAAATAAAATAGTTGTTTATAGCCGTTCTATACATTTTGGTGCAATTTATTATGTAGCAATGACTAATATATAAGAAGATTAGCTAAAGCAACATGATTGTTGGTAGTCACAGAAATAAATTTCTGAGGACACTCAGGCCAGTCGGTAAACTTTCTTTAGTGTTTTAATTTTTCTGTAGTAAAATTGCCTATAGTTCTGTTTTCTGTGTCCTTGTTTTAAGATCTCTAAGAATCATCAGTGTCCTTTTAAGAAGAGGATCACTGGAAGCAATTACCATGATGTACTTCTTTTTGCAGGAACAAGTACCTTTTACGAGGAGTGAAAAATGATATTTTTATCCAGTGAATAAATCCCTGAAATGTACGCCTATCCAGTGATCTGACAAAATAGTTTCTCATTTTTATGGACCCAAACTACTGCATCTAAGAAAATGTAAGCACTCGTCTGTCATTTTTAAATGCTTTAGGAGCAAGATAAAATAACATGGTATTTATTTTTGCTTTTAGTTTGCTGTTGATGATATTTTGCACATAGCACTTTTTACAGTGCTAAAATATAAAAATAAAGGTTAAAAAATCAAACAACTCCATAATTTTAACATGCAGTGTATGAAAAAAATGGCAAAATGCATGTACTTTGAAATAATCTATTTCCTTCTATTGTGCCGGGTCCTGGCAGTGGACCCCAGCACACTGAAGTATGATCCCCCCCGAAGTTCCAGACTTACTCCCTATAGGAGAAAGAGTGGGAAGGGGAGAAGCCTTTGCCCTGGCTCTCTGCTCACCGCGAGATTCCTGCCACCCACCGTCCTTCCTTGAGAAAGAAACCAAGCAGAGTGTGAGAGACTGGTGGTCAAGCAGTTCTCCGGTTATTGACTCTTACACAGGGGTTGTGCTAATGCACACACACAATTGTGGGCATTCCATACATGTATTGCGTTTATCTCCTGGAGCTCAGTGCAGGCGCTAGTTAATGATTTGTATTCCCCAATCGCAGGCCCGGGTAAATGAGCTCAGGCAAATGTTTACTGTCACGACCCCATCCAATTGTGTCCTCTACCAGAATGCGTATATGTGTGGAATGCAGGGGCAAGCCCCTGGACCCCAGTAAACAGGGATAGCACTTGTGATAAGGTTGGGGGGGTGGTTGAAGTCTCAGGCTGGCTGCTGAGACCCCAACACTATTGTTTATAAGAATATATATTAACAGTTGAGGGTGTTACAATTTGACAATTCTATGTCACCCATCATTTTAACTACCAAAAATTTAGAAACCATTGATTTTCAGTGAACAAGTGAACTCTGTCTAGGATTCATCTGTGCAACACCAGGGCTGTATCCCATAGACACAGATGTGTCCTAGATGACAGCTGGCACTCGTGCTCTGAAATCTTGGAAACAGAGTTCAATCACCAAACTTCCAGCAGACTATGTCAGAAACCTGTGGTCATCCTTCTCATAGGCAAAGTATTTATTCACATTTTCTTTGTGAATCCCAAAATGACTGCTTGAATCTTAGTCCATCTATCTTAATTTATTGACCCAAGTGCAACTTCTTGACCAGTACTGGATTTTCGAGATGGAAGATAACATGTTCACACATGGAGACTTAGTGCCTCCATTTTTTTCAAAATTTTCTTTTTCTCTCTATCAGATACAAGGCAGCAGCAAGTTCTACTCATAAACAAGTGGGTCTGAGATTCAAAGTGAATTTCATTCTCACCATTTGTGAGAAGGCCTGTGACGTTCTCTTCCCTTGAAATAAAGTTCCAAATCTTCAGTGAGGGACCCATCAACTGGAAAAGCATCAATTTTTTTCTTGATTAAGACTTTTTTCTTCCATTTTTTGGTCATGGAGTCGGAAATGTTCAGAATAGATGTTCTTCCTCTTTTCCTGTAAAAAGCTATTTGGATGGTTTAGAGGGACATTTTAAAGCATAGGCAAAATTGGAACTGCAAAGCGCACATAATTTGACAAAACCAAAAGCTTGTAGGAGATATTGTATGGTATGGTGTTGGTGTTATTTTCTTCTTGTTTACTCAAATTAAGACATTAGTTTTACTGAACTTCAGGACTAGTTCCCTTAGCACATGGTAAACAGTTATATTTGCATCTATTGAGGACAGAGAAATACTCGAGAGGGTAGGGTGCTTGCTCTTCTCTTGTGGAGTTCGGGTCTGATTCCCCAGCATCTCATATGGTCCCCCAGCCCCATTAGGGGTGATCTATCAGGAATCAATTTTGAGCACCACTGGGTGTGGTCAAAGAGCCAAAAAATACTTGTATCTTTTATTCCTTTAATAATTCTCATTTCAATCTAGCTCATCTGTTTATACATTGATAAAAAGACGCTAGTAAGTCAAACATGCACATTTGCATGTGCTGTAACTCAAGATCATTAAAACATCTTATTGAAAACTTGTGCTGTCACAATCAATTTCCTCAGACCTAATTTGTTTTTCAGACAAAGTGAATAAGAACACTGTACTGTCCCAACATGTAGTTCACTTACAATGTTTGATCAGTCTCCTCATCCTAGAACACCAAAATTTCCTTGTTTGAACTCAAGGTTTTCTCTTACCGATAGTTTTGAAGTCCATACAGTAAGAAATAGATTATTGATATAGATTTCCTGGCACATATCTCACAGACGGGGCCTGTGCCATGTGGGAGTGAATGTTGTTAATGTGCTTGTAAGTTCGAGGTTCTCAACAGAAGCAGAAGTTTCTTCCAACAGGGAGACATAATGGACACCGTCTATACATATTTTGGAAAAGTGGGATGAAGGTCCAGTTGCTAGGGAATGCCTCCAAATATTAGAAATTATGCTACCATATGACCCACATCTGGGCATGTAACTTTGGGGTGCAAAAAAGCATGATAGGAATTATATCTGCAACTGTATGCTTATAACAGCATTGTACATAATAGCCAGAATCAGGATCCAACCCGCGTTCCCAAAAACAGACGACTAGTTTAAGAAGCTATGGTGCCGCTGTTATAAAAGAAAACGTCATGAAAGATGCTTATAAGAGGATGGATGGGGAGAATATCATGCTACATGAAATGAGTCAGAAAGTCAGGGACAGAACATAATGACTACACTTATTTGTTGAATATAAAAGAACATAATGTCATAATGAATTGAATATTATCTGAAATGAACTACTTTGAACAACTTGCTCGATTTGCTCGAGCGGGCCCAGTAACGTCTCCATTGGAGACTTTGTTGTTACTGTGTCTGGCATATCAAATACTCTCGGTAGCTTGCCGGGCTCTCCGAGAGGGGCGGAGGAATCGAACTCGGGTCGGCCATATTGGCCGCTTGTAAGGCGAACGCCCTACACGCTGTGCTATCGCTCCAGCCCAACTTGATAAAAATAAAATAATATTTAAGATAGCTGAGAAACAACAACAACAAACAAACGATTCTACTAAAGTCTTCTATAACCTGGACATTAACCCCTTGTCAGATGGGTAATGAAAGTATTTTCCACATCCTGCGGGGGCTCTGTGTATTTGACTCTCTGTTTCCATAGAGGGGTAGGAGCTCTTAGATGAATGTAGAACCATTTGTTTAGGATAGTTTGCACTTGCTTGGTCAGAGGGGTTTCATCCTTCACGATGCTTTTAGCTTCCATATCACGGATGGTTCTGCCTACATTTTCCTCTCTGTACCTTATGAAGCAGTTCAGATATTGAGGTCTCTAATGTACTTTGATCTGACTTCTGGGCCTGGCATTAGACAGAGTTCAGAGTTCATATTTTTTCTCAGGTAGCTGTTCACTTATGTCAACATGTTGAAGAGCCTTTCCTCCCTCCATTTCACGTTTCTTGCTCCTTTCTCTAAGATGAAGTGGTCGTATAGTTGAGACTCTGCAACAGAATAACAGAATATTGAACTCTGTACCATTGATCTGCAGGTGTTTTTCTAGTGCAATACCATGCTCTTTGAATTACTACTGCATTGTAATACAGTTTGAAGTTGGGGAAGGTGATGGCACTCATTTTCTTTTACCCAAGGATTGCTTTAGCTATCCGTGGGGGTTGATTGTTCCATATGAATTTCAGGGTGGTTTTCTTTATTTCTTTGAAGAATGTCATGGGTATCCTTATAGGGACTGCATTCAATCTGAATAGAACTTTGGAGATTATTGCCATTTTGATAGTGTTAATACTCCTTTTCATGAGATGGGATGTCTCTCCATTTCCTAGTGTGTCCTTTTATTTCTTGAAGTAGTGTTTTGTAGTTCTTTGTAACATTCATTCACGACCTTACTCAAAGTGATTCCGAGGTACTTGATTAACTGAGGCACCATTGGGTAAGAAACTGTTTTGTTGTTGTTGTTGATGCTGTTTGGTTGTTGATTTTGTAGCCTGCCACTTTACTTTACAAAGCTATTGTTTCTAGGAGCTTTTCTGCAGATTCTTTAGGATTGTCTAAGTATTTTCTAAAGACCTCCTCCTTCCCTCTCCATTGCTTTGATATCTTTTTCTTGCCTAACTGCTATGGTCAGAATTCCCAGTACTACATTGAGTAGGAGAGTGGGAAAACTTGTCCTGTTGCCCATCTTAGTGGGATGGTTTTTAGTGTCAACACATGGAGAATAATGCTCGCCTTTGGCTTGTGGTAGATGACTTTGACCATATTGACATAATATAGTCAATGCCCTTTTTGCTGAGACTTTCATCACCAACAGGTGCTGGAATTTGTCAAATGCCTTCTCTACATCTATTGATATGTCCATATAATTTTTTATGTTCCTTTATTGATGTGATGGAATATGTTGATTGACTTGCAAATGTTAACCCATCCTTGTATCCGGGAATAAATTCTACTTGGTCATGGTGTATGATCTTTTTGATGAGTCGTTAAATTCTTTGTGCTAGGATTTTGTTGAGAATCTTTGTGTCTGTGTTCATCAGGGATTTCGGCAAGTAAGTCTCTATCTTTGTGCTATCGTGGTCTGCTTTGGATATCAGGGTGACATTTGCTTCCTAGAAAGTGCTTGAAAGTGTTTCTGGATCTTGCTCATGGTGCACCCAGGTACAACGCAGAGAGTCTCATCTAAATGTTTCTGGGGGCCATACAATGCTGGCAATAAAATCCAGCCTTACAGCATGCAATACCTGAGCTCATGCCACTAGTTTATCCCTCTGGCCTCCTGCATTTCCTAATTTTTATTAGAAAATATTAGTGTTTGATTAGAAACGGTGAGTTTCAAAGAAAAACCGGTGGATGTGAACGTTGTTGGTGGGTAAGTACCATTTCCACAGGCTGGTCCACGGCGGCTGATTAACAAAGGACCTGAGGAACTGACAAACAGGGCCCGGGACTCTGGCTAATCAGCAGACAGTTTATTTTTCTTTCCACCCCAGTGTGTTTGATCTCTCCCCTTAAGGCACAGTTGTTGTCATAATTTTGGTCGTGGTCCCAGTGATTATATTTCCGTCATCCTAGTGTTCCCCCAGATCTGAAAGCACTCTAACACTTTGCATTTTCTTCCTTTTCTTCTCGTAGTCTCCTAGTCCTCTTCCAATCTTCATTGACATCTAGTCTTCCTTCTAGTCCCCAAAGTTCCACAGTCCCAAAACTCCAAAGTCTCAGTTCTCATTCCCTTTGTCGTTGACTTTCTAGTACTTGGGTCTGTCACATTTGCAAGTATTTAAAGTAAGGCTGTGATTTCTTTGTCCTCTGGGAGCAAGAGGATTCGGGCACATATCGTACAATTCTAGAGAGCAAATTCTCAATTCTCAGAGAGTGTCAATAATAGCCAGCATTTTAAGGTCACATGAGATCCCATACTCAGGAACAGTAATTCGCTGACAGGAGGCCGGGGTCTGAGACCAAAAAGAGGCACCACCTTCACTAAAAAGCAAGTGAATGTCCTTTGACATTTGTATGATTTCAGTGAATGGCTGTGTCTTCCGGACACAAGATTCCTGTCACTGAACTGCTGAATTATACCAATCGACGTAATCCCGGGACTGGAGCAATAGCACAGCAGGTAGGTCATTTGCCTTTTATGCAGACAACTGGGGTTTCATTCTTACGATCGCTCAGAGAGCCCAGCAAGCTACGTAGACTATACCCCCGGCACGGCAAAGTCTGGAAAGCTCATCTTCAAGTGTTCTATATACCAAAAACAGTAACCACAAGTCTCACAATGGATACGTTACTGGTGCCCGCTCGAGAAATTCAATGAACAACGGGAGGACAGTGCCACAGTGCCATGTAATCCCTACTGTACCTCTGCTTTGAGTTTATCAGAGCATATACAATGTCCACCTGGGAACATTTCATGAAATTTTTCTGTGGGAGGTCCATTATGAATTAACAGAAATTTCTGCCACTCTCAGAAATCTTGTAATCCGTGAAAATGATGCTTGTCTTCCCTGAAAAAATTGAACATTGCTCTTCAATATTGTGTTTCCCAGTGCTTTATTTCACTAATTTTTCTAAGAAGGCTCCAAATTGTTGTCCACAGAGGTGGTACAAGACAACATTCCCACCAGCAGTTGTTAAGAATCCTTTTACATGACATGCCCACTAACAGTTACTTCCTACTATTTTGGATGTGTGCCAAGTGAATGTGCATTTCCAGATTGTTTAAAAAATGAATTCTACCAGTCTATCACTTCATTAAGTGGAATGTTAGGAATTTGTCCTATCTCGGAAATATGTGACATTCTATTTGAGGCCACTGCCACTTTCTAAAGAAGAAAGAGTTAAGGAATTGAATGTTGCTAGGAGACAAAAGAGCACTGTCATCAGATACAGTCATTTGTAAAACTCTTTCCATAATAGCTCTCCTGGTTTGATTGAGAATAAAACGAAGCCCACACAAGGACA